TTCCTAGGGCTTCCTGGAGCCTCTTGAAACTTCTGAGGCCTCTTGCGGCCTCCTGGATCCTCCTGGGGCCTCTTGGGGACTCCTGGGAGCTCCTGGGGCATCTTGGGGAATGCTCCTCCTTAAGCCTCCGGGGGCTTCCTAAGGCCTCTTGGGGATTCTTTGGGCCTTCCTGGCGGTTTCTGTGGACTGAGCCTCCTGAGACCTCCTGGGTCCTTCCTGGCGTTTCCTGGGGCTTCCTCGGGCCTCTTAGAGCCTCCTGGTACCTCTTGGGGCTTCCTGTGGCTTCCTGATTTCTCCTGGGACCCTCTGGGGCCTCCTGGGGCCTCCTGGGCCTTCCTGGAGCCTCCTGGGGCCTCTTGGGGACTCATGAGGCCTCCTGGGGCATCTTGGGGACTGCTCCTCCTTGAACCTCCTGGAGCTTCCTGAGGCCTCTTGGGGCTTCCTTGGGAACCAGATGTAACAGGTGTAAAACGCGTAGGGTTGGAACCACATGAGAAAAACCATCTATAGGAACATACGTCAACCACCACGGATTCGTGCCCCACAGGATGCCCAATCTATAGGAGCAGACGTAAACGCATAGAGATGAAGCCACAGGAGAAAGGCAATATATAGGAACATACGTGAAACACTATGGATTCGTGCCCCAGGAGAAGCCTGAACTATAGGAACATACGTAAAACCGCTCTGGACATCCTCGCAACCTGGGCCCCCCTGGGGTGCGAAAACCAGCGCCTCGCACGCGACATCCTCCAAATCTGCTCCGAAAGAAAAGGATGTTGGGTCAGGAAACACGCACACCGCTCAAAACATCCCCGCAATCTGGGCGCGAACGGAGGCCGTGCAACACCCCTGGCGCCCCCACCCCTTAGGAGTGCTAAAACCAGCAAGCCGCTCGAGACATCCTCAGAAACTGCTCTGAGCGCAGACGAGTCTGGCCACCAAACCGAGCAAGCCGCTCGAGACATCCTCGTAATCTGGGCCGCCTGGGGTGCGATAACCAGCGCCTCGCACGAGACATCCTCACAATCCTCAGGATGTTCGTGACCAAACCAGGCAAAACGCCTGAGACATCCCCGCAATCAGGGCGCGAACGAAGGCCGTGAGATCCCCATGGCGGCCCCCCTTAGGAGGCGTCTCGCCTGAGACATCCTCAGAATCTGCTCCGAAAACGAAGGATGTTCGCGACCAAAACAGGCAAACCGCCTGAGACATCCCCGCCATTTGGGCGCGAACGGAGGCCGTGAGATACACCTGGCGCCCCCCCCCTAAGGAGTGCTAAAACCAGCAATCCGGTCGAGACATCCTCATCATCTGCTCATCGTCATCATCGTCATCGTCATCGTCATCGTCGTCATCATCATCATCATCATCATCACCATCAGCATCATCATCATCATCATCATCATCATCATCATCATCATCATCATCATCATCATCATCATCATCATCATCATCATCATCATCATCATCATCATCATCATCAAATCCATCATCACCATCATCATCATCGTCATCATCACCATCATTCATCATCTATCACTTATCACCATCATCATCATCCATGATCGTCAGAATCATCCATCATCCACCACCACTCATAACAACAAACGAGGGAAGGAAGGGATGATGATGACGACGACGACGACGACGATGATGATGATGATGATGATGATGATGATGATGATGATGATGATGAGGGGTCCGGCGCGGTCAGAGAATAACAAGAAGACAATCCTTTGGATATTGGGAAAACTCATGCCACACTCGGCGCCATCGACTCGTGCGCTCATGCCCTGCTCCTCCTCCCCCTGCTCCTCCTCCTCCTCCTCCTCTTCCTCCTCCTCCTCCTCCTCCTCCTCCTCCTCCTCCCCCTCGTCCCCCTCCTCCTCCTCCTTCTCCTCCTCCTCCTTTTCCTCCTCCTCCTCCTCCTCCTCCTCCTCCTCCTCCTCCTCCTCCTCCTCCTCCCCGCCTCGCCGGCGCTCGGGCGCCCATTCCCCGTGCATTTTTGATCGTGCAGTTTTCGCAGGATGATCCAGGATTCTCCTCGATGATCCTCGCCGAATCAAAGATGCACACGTCCGAGCGATGCCAAGCTGCTGTCCGCATCAGCCACCGCCTCTGCCGCCTCCTCCTCCTCCTCCTCCTCCTCCTCCTCCTCCTTCTCCTGTTTCCTCGTCCTCGTACTTCTCTCGCTCCACGCCGCGAGTCCAGCGGGCGGAGGAGCTGCGGAGGGAAGCTGGCGCTCCCCCCCCCAATGTTCAGCACCGTCGCCCCCCCGGGTGTGGCCGAGGCATGCAGACCTGCCATCAACCATCGGCAGGTGGTGCGCCAGTCTCCGTCTCCATCTCCACCTCCGTCCCCTCCTTCTACTTCTGCTGGGAGGTCCGCGCGAGCACATCGGGCACGCGCGCGATGGGGGCACGGGAAGTCTGCGCATCACGCACAGGGGTAATCATGAGCTCAAGCGCTAGGGTCTGCGCTCAGATGCTCGGCGAGACGCGTGAGGCAAAGCTGGAACACGGTGCCATCGATGCTATCAGGCTCGCTGCAACGCGTTCCGTGCCCTTCCCGTTGGCCTTTCTTGCGGCGGGCCCTGCGGCCCCAGACGGGGCCGAGGGAGCACAGGGCGGACGGTCAGCCTGCTCCTCCTGCTGCACGGCTTCTTCGATCTGCTGCCTGCTCCTGTTGCTGCAGCCCGCTGTACATGAGCATCGCCCTAGATGGCCTCGCCCTGCACGCAGTGGATTTGCCACGGCATCGCGCTTGGCAGCTACAGCGCGCGGGCCAGAGCGTGCGATGAACGGGGGCAGTAGCTGACTACCTACCAGACCACCCCAACCCAACCCGACGACCCGAATTTCGGGTTGGGGGGGGGGGAGTACGGGCTTCAGATGTCTTTTTTCAATGTTCCCCGATCCCCCCCCCCCCCCACTGGAAATGGAGTGCAAATCGGGGCCTTCCTGAGGAGTGTTGGGGATGCCCGAGGCTCCCACCAAACGGTAGCGACGCCCGCGGCCCGAAGGCCCGATGCCAAAGTGCTCCGAACGAGGCCCACGCGGATTGCGAGCGCGCCTCCCCGGCCCCTTTCCTCGACCAAGGAGAGGGGATGGGGGAGGGGATGAGTCGGGGGCAGGAGAAGGCGATTGACGGATTCGGACTGAGCCGAGTCAAGCGGCTGAGGTGGGAATCCGACAGGGTACGGGAGCTCGTCCTCCTCTGCGTCCTACCCACCAAGGTGCATAGCACTTGCTCGGGGGGCCTGCCCCGCCAATCTATCCAGACGAAGGGGCCCTACGCGCAAGGCCTGCGACCCTGATACCGGGGGTCCGAACTCGTACCCTGAACGCCGACGGGTTCAAGCCAGACGCCCGGACCTCGAGCCCTGCAGCTGAAATGACCCCACGCCCGCCGGCCACACGCACAAACACACACACACACACACACACACATACATACACACTCTTCTGCGTCGGCGGCTAAGCAGAGTAACTGCGCTGGCAAAGAATCACAACGGGGACACCGTGGAAGCGACTTGTGCCACGATGCAGGAAAATGGGGAAAAGACAAGAAGGGCGGCCGAAGGAGGGGACAGGGATCGAGGGCCGCTCAGGTGGACGGGTCACAAACACACTCACTCACACACATACACACAAACGCACGCACCTTGACTCCACGTGCCGCGCACATTGTCCGGCGGCGCGCAGCGAGAATGTAGTGAAGCGCCGCCCCATGCGTAAAAGAGCGCGGCCTCTGCCCCGATTACACCCGACCACGGCAACACCTGGGGGTCCACGCCTGCGGTGGGTTCCGCGGCCGTGGCCGGCAGCGGTGTCGCGGGCGGGCAGAACGATGAGACAGAGGCGGGGCGCAAGCCGCCGGAAAGCAAAACTGCTCCTCCTCCTCCTCCTCCTCCAGCTCCTCCTCCAGCTCCTCGTCCTCCTCCTCCTCCTTCTCCTCCTCCTCCATTTCCTCCTCCTCCTTCTCCTCCTCCTCCTCCTCCTCCGCCCTCCTCCTCCTCCTCCGCCCACATCCTCCTCCTCGTCCTCCTCCTCCTCGGCCCTCCTCCCTCCTCCTCCTCCTCCTCCTCCTCCTCCTTCTCCTAATCCGGAATGCATAACGAGCGCTCGTAAGGCATGAGCACCTCCATCACCATCACCTGCCTCTGGTGCTTGCTCAAAACTATCGGCCTCTGCCGCTAGGCTGTGGGCGCTCTCTCGCTTGGAGCTCGCTGGCTGCCGCCTCGGAAAGGGCACAGCTAGGAGGACAGGGCAAGAGTAGAAGGCAGAACATCCACCCCGTTTGGTAAACGCACCGCCAATTGTCCGGTCTGGGTGGCTTTTCCTCCCTTGAAAGAGGAGGACCAGCGAACGGCGAACGGCGGAGGCGGAGGAGGCACCGCCGACGCCGCGGGGGTCGTCGGCCACTGCCGGCTTTGGGGTCCGGCCTGCGTCGCCGCCTCCACTTGGCGGCGAGCGAGGGGGGGAAATGAGAAGGAGAAGGCCTTCTCAGAAGGCGGCGGGACTTCTCAGGAGCCCTCGCGCCTCCTAAGACGTTTTCTCGGTCTTCGGGAAAGGTTTCAGAAACATCCCAGAAGGCTGGGGGGGCTTCTGAGCCTTCTGAAAAGCCCCCCACCCTTCTCACTTTCCGCCCTCGCCTTCCTGCATCTGCACGTGGAGGACCTCCGAGAAGGACTGCCTCGACGCCTCAGCTGGGTCCTGTGCTGGCGGGCGGCGACTCGCGCTGGCGGGCGCAGCGACCTCGCGGCCAGGGCGGCGACGAGCTTGGCCCCATTCTTATGCGGACTCCGTCCGCCCAGCGCCCTCTCCGACTCGGCCTCCGAGGCCTCCTCCTTCGAGCCCTCGTCGAACTCGTGCTGCGTGGCCTCGCCGTGCGTGACCCTCCAGGAACGGATGAGGCGCCGTGGCCGCCCCCTGTGGTGGTGGGCCCGGATGTCTAACACCGAGGGCGTTGAGCACCGAGAACCCGTCCTGCTACTGTCAGGTACTCTCGGACTGCTCACACGCGCTGATGGCAGCAGTGTAGCTGATGCAGTCCCGTTCGAGCTTGGCGTCCCGGATCTCGCTGAGCAGAGACACGGCCTTCCGATATTGACGCCCCCTGTCGCACACGCCGATCAGCTGGGTGTAACTGATCGCCGATATCTCAATGCGTGCACGGCGCATTATGGTGAGCAGCATCGTAGCTTGCTGCCACTCCCCCTCCCTCTCACACGCTCGAATAGCAACATTGTGGCTGACCGTGTTTGGTTCTACCGCGGACCGCCTCATCTCACGGAGCAGGTACAGCGCCTGCTGCCACTGCCCGCCCTTCTCGCACGCCCCGAGTGCCGCGGTGCAGCTGATCACACTCCACTCCAGCGCCGACTCCTTCAAGGGTGGCCAAATGGGCGATTTCGGAAATCCTGGACCCAAAAACGTTTTGTTCTCTTGGGGGCACATCTTTTGCTTCCGCCGTCTTCCGCCGCCCTTCCGCCAGCTTCCGCCGCCCTTCCGCCGGCTTCCGCCGGCTGAAGCGGCCTCGTTTTACTTCCGCCGAACTTCCGCCGCCTTCTGCCGCGAAAGAGATGGCAACTCCTTCGATCCTCGAAGGCAAGGCCCTTTTTGGAACGCTCCCAACAATACTAATAAGCAGTACCTCGCCTTCCCCACCCCCTGCTTGCGTCGCCCTGCTTTCCTGAGAGTGGGGAGGGTGGGGGAGGGCTGTGGTCACGGGTTCTCCGAGCCCTCCCGGGCCTGCAGCTCTCTCAGCAGCAGCATCGCGTGCTGCCACGGGCCCCTGAAGGCGCTGATTGTGGCACTGTAGCTGACGATGTCTGGCCGAGGCCTTCGCTGCCGCATCTCCCTCAGCAGATCGAGCGCCCGCTCCCACTGCTCACTCTTCTGGCACGCGCTGATGGCAGCGTTGAAGCTGACTGGGACTGCTCCGCGGATTACCATCCACTCGTGACCCGGCCCCCTCCTGCTCCAACTCCTCTTCTCCCGCCCGGTTCCGCATGGTGTTGCCCTGCCCCCCCGTCCCCCTCCTCCCCCTCATCCCCATCTTTGGATATCCTCGTTGTTATCATCGTCGTCCCCCACTCGTCCGCGACACCGCCCCCATCTTAGCCTTCCTCCTTGCCCTCGCAGTGGTCCCCCTCACGCGCGGGCCATGAACACCAATGTCACCGCGCCACTGCCCCCACGGAGCACGCTGACGACAGGATGGGAAGCCGGGGGTCAGTGCTGGGTCCTCTTCACTGCCGAGGGCTTCGGGCGGGGGGGAAGGAAGATGATGAAAAGGACAATAAAGGAAAGGGTGGGAACGAGGAGGACGGGGAAACGGAAGAAAGAGGAGCGCTCTTTGGAACTGTTTTGCCAACCTCGAGAGCCATTCGGGAAAACACCCGACCCGCACCTGGAGCCGAAGCTCCGAATACGGCATGGCCCCGCAACGCCCCATCAATGAGCACAGTGGACTGTAGTGCGTCACCCTCCTGACGACTGGGGGATGCTACTCTGACTGAGAGCCGTGCTCCACCCCAACGACGGCAGGCCGCCCGAAGCTGGGCACGGGAGCCTCCAGCTCGACATGCCCCCCGGCCGATGCAGGCTTCACACGCTCAATCCCCAGTCGGCTCGCCCTCGCACGTCCCCGCGCAGCAGCCTCGGCAGCTACGCAGAGCGGAGGGGGGAGGGGGCGGAAGAGGCTGAGCCGTGGAGGAGGGGGACGAGAAACAGGGGGGGGACGGGAGAGAAGAGGTGCCCCTCCTTGTCCCCCTCGTCCCCCTCCTCCTGTTCCCTCCCTCGCTACCTCCCTCCGTCCTTCTCATGATCCCAGTCCCCTTCTCCAACATCCTCCCCGATCCTCCTCCTCCTCCTCCTCGAACTCCTCCTCCTCTTCCTCTGCCCTTCTACTCAGACTCTCTCTTTCTTCTCGCTCCTTCTTCCCCGTGCCTCCTGCATCCCTCCTTGCCGTTGTCCTCATGATCCTCGTCTTCCCCCCTCTCCTCCCGCGCCCCCCTCGCCGCTCCCCTTACCTCCCCACCTCCCCTCTGTTTCTGCTCCCCTCTTGATCGTGATGGGGGGTGCAGCTGGGTCTGAAGAGAAGGGCCCGACAACATCCGCGCACCTGTGGAATTAAACTGCCGCGAGCAAGATGGAGGGTGCGAAGGAAGCGAAGATGGATGCAGGGGCCCGCAAGAGTGAATTGCGTTCGATGCCCCCGGCCGTGGAGAGGTGCTGGTGTTGGCGGCGAGCCTAGATGCCCGCTGCTGGTTGAGCAGCGACAGCGCATGCGTCCAGAGCCCGACCTTTTCGCATGCGCTGATGGCAGCGTTGTAACAGATGGTGTTCATCTGAACTCTCTTCGGCCACATCGAGTGAAGCAGCGCGGCGGCCCGCTGCCAATGGTCAGACTTCCCGCACGCGCTGATCACAGCAGAATAGCTGACGGTGTTCGGCTCCAGCCTTGCCTTGCAGAGTGCATCGAGCAACGACAGCGCCCGCTGCCACTGGCCTCCCTGTCCGCACGCGCTCATCGCAGCACTGTAAGGGATGACGCCCTGTTCGAGCCGCGCACCCCGTAGACTACTGAACAGCAGCAGCGCGCGCTGCCACTGCTCCCCCTTCGCGCAGGCGCTGATCGCGGCACAGTAACCGACGGCGTCCCGCTTCATCTTCGCTTGCCAGAGCTGCTGGAGCAATGACATAGCCTGCTCCCACTGGGCCCCCTTATCAAGAGCGCTGATGGCAATGTTGTAGGAAATGATGCCCGGCTGAAGCATCGCTTCCCGAAGGGACCCGAACAATAACAACGCCTGCTGCCAACCCCCATCTGCGTCGCAAGCACTCATGGCAGCACTGTAGGCGATGATGTCTGGGGTGAATGTCGCTTCGCTGATCCGGTGGAAAAATGATAGCGCATGTTGCCATTGCCCTCCTTTCCCGCAAGCGCTGATGGCGGCGCTATAACTTATCATATCGGGTTCGAGCGCTTCGTTCCAGAACTCGCCTACCAACTTTAAAGCATTCTCCCACTGGTCGCCTTTCTCACATGCGCTAATTGCAGCGTTGTAGCTGATTGTATTCAGCCGCAAGCCCTCTTGCAACATAGCCTGCACGGATACGAACTTAAAACCTTCCTGGGCAACCTGCATTACAACGTAAAGCGGATCCGGATGAGTCGAGCAATGAAGAGTAAGGGCGCTCGAACGTCGTTCGATAATTACGTCTCGGTCAGGAACCACTAAGAACATTAACCATATGGATGTCCAGATAACCTTGGTGAGACACTCCGACGCCCCAACCTAGAGGTAGACCTTCTGACAAGCCTGGCCGTGTGCATCACTCAAGGGAACGAAAACTGACAGACTTATCCGGGTGATGGGGCCGAGCGGACATTCACTGTACCTGGGCACGTGGCTGAAGTGAGGTTCTGCGGTGCGGACCGTTGCTGTTTCAATTGTGGTTGATGTTGTTGTTGGCGTTGTTGTTGTTGGTGTTGCTGCTGTTGTTATTGTTGTGGGGCTCTCACTTCAAAAAAATATGATTGGTCCCCCATCCGCGATGAGCATTGCATTTGATCAATTGAAGTGCTTCTCCAGGGGCTCGCACCACGCTTTTTACAAAGGGAAGATGGTGTCGCCAACCTGGGCTGTTCGGCCCCCAGCCTAAAACTTCATTGCATTGTATGACACTATCGGGCTCTCGCGCTGGATTTCCTCAATTTACGTAGGAATCGCGCTCTCGCGTCGGACTTCTTGGCAAATTGTTCAAACGCCGCGCCCTCGACACACTGTGGATTCAGATTTCCTGACGATATTTCTGATACGTAAGGATCGCGCCATCGATCGAGACTTCCTCGCGATTCACGCAAGAAAACACTTCAACCACCCGCTTGCTCGACCTGGCCGCATAAGACCCGCCTGCTAGGGTCTGCCCACCCGATCTGCCAGTCAAGTTCTTCCACGCGAGGGACATACCCCTAAGGGGGCACGATCGAAGACGAAGAAGGCGGTATCGAGGGTTTTAGATATACGGGCTGAGTGGCACGGGGGCCAAGAAGAGCGAACAGTATTAAACTGAGTGTGGTGGTGGTTGTTGCTCGTGGTGGTGCTGTTGGTGTTCATGTTGGTATTGTTGGTGTTGTTGTTGTTGCTGTTGTTGTGGTTGCTGCTGTTGCTGTTGGATTCCCATTTCGAAAGAACCAGTATTCTTGATCCACCCTGCCCAGTAACCACTGACCTGTTCGGTTAAAGTGCTCCCCCCTGGGTTCGCACCCGGTTTTGCACAAGGGGGGGTGGTGTCACCAAACTGTACCCCTGGCCCCCGAATGACAACAACAACGGCTCCAGCCTGATACCTCCTCACAACTCATTCCACAATCGCGCTCTCGTACGGGACGTCCTTCAACTTTAGACGGGAATCGCGCTCTCGCGTGGGACTTCCTCGCAATAGATTCAATCCCCGCGCCCTCGACACCCAAGAATCACACTCTCGCTGTGGATGTTCTCACGATGTATTTGAGAATCGCCCTGTCGCTCGACACTCCCTCGCGAGTCATGCAAGATGCACGCTTCAACAACCCGTCTGCCCCTTGTCCTTTCCTTCCATCCGTCCTCTCCTCCCCTGGCTCAAGGGCTGCACGAAGTACACGTTGCAAGTAAGAGAGATATACTCCTGAGGAGGTACGATCGAATACGAAGAAACAGGGAATCGAGAGTTTGGGATATACGTGTTGCCTCGCACGCAAGCAGATAAGAGCGAACAGTCTTACAATGAATATGGTTGTCGTTGCTGTCGTTGTTGGTGTTGATGTGATTGCCTTTGAATTCTCACTCCTAAAGAACAAGTTTTGTTGACCCCCCGGGTAACCAATGCATTTTTCAAATGAAGTGCCCCCGTCGGGGCTCGCACCCTGTTTTTCTTATCAGGGAAAGCTTGGTGACACCAAACTTGGTTTTTGCTCTCCGAGCTACAACAACAGCGACAAAAACAACAGCAGCAACAACAACAACGGCTCTCGCCTGATACTGCCTTACAATGTTTTCCACACGCGCTCCGACACGGGACCTCCTCACGATGTAAGCAGGACTTGCGTCCTCGCGTCGCAGTTTCGCATGATTTATTCAGACGCCGCGCCCTCGACACCCAGGAATCACGCTCTCGCTCGGGCTTGTTTCACGATTTACTTGGGAATCGAGTTATTGCTTGAGCTCTCTTGAAAATTCATGCAGCACTCACGCTTCAACAACAAGCCTCATCGACCTGGCCGCTTGGGCCCAACTTCACGACACGACCGTTCGGGTCTACCCGCCCGATCGGCCCGTCTGGTTCTGCCACGTGTGTTCTGCTCCTAATGAACCCCCCGCGTTGAATCCCGTGTTCCATCCTTCTCCCTCCCCCTGCCATCCGTCCTCTCTTCCCCTGTTCCAGGGGCTGCACGAAGTACGCGCGGCGGGTAAGGAAGATATGCCCATTGAGGGGGTACGATCGAAGACGAAGAGAGCGGGTACCAAAGATTTGGGAGATGCACGTTTTGAATGGCACGTGAGCAGCTATCAGCGAGCAGTATTAAGATAATTGGTGTTGTTGTTGATTAGGTAGCTGTTGTTGGTGGTGGTGCTGCTGTTGCTAATAATGTTGATGTTGTTGTTGTTGTTGTTGGTGGTAGCGTTGTTGTTGGTGGTGGCATTGTGGTTGTTGGTGTGTTTGTTGTTCGTTGTGTGTTGTTTGTTGTTTGTTGTTGTCGTTCCCTCTGCGACCGGGCCCGCGACCCGCCCGCGACCCAGCCCGCGAACCACCCGCGACCCGCCCGCGACCCACCAGCGACCCACCCCGCGACCCACCCGCGACTCACCCGCGACCCATCCCACGACCAACCCGCGACCTACCCACCCTGCGACCCACCCACATTGCTTTAACGAAAAAATCTGCGCCTGCGGCGGCGTCGCTGCATAATTTGAAAAAATCAAGCGCCTGCGGCGGGCTTCTCCAGAACCTCGCAGACTGCCGACGTCCCCGCCGCCCACTCACTCTTATCCGCAACAGCGGGGATCTACGTAAAAACTCGGAGGTCCGAGCAGACTCTTCTGATCGGCGCTGGACCCCCCTCCTGGGCGCGCGCTGCGCGCCAAGCGGTGGCGCCGGAGGAATCCGAGGAACCCGCCCAAGTCCGAGGAATCCGCGCGGACCTCCGAGATGTCATGCTTATATCATTGCGTGCCCCCCCCAAATGCGGAACACCTCCCAAGGCCAGCACTCCGTCCGTGACTCCCCGGACCTGGAGCGTGCTCGAGACTGGGCCGGCTTTTCCGGCAAGGTGGCCGCGACACGCTGGCCCAGCTCTTCGGGAAGGCAGATTCTTCATCGCAGGCTCGACTCTATTTGAGCAAGGACCGACCGTCCCAGCATTCCTTTAGTCCTATCACGAAATGTTCTTACAGCCCCAAAATGCTCTAAGAACAAAAACCATGTTCTTAGACCATAAACCCGATGTGATAAAACAAGACAGACTCCGCCAGAAATGTTCTAAGAATATTTCGTTGCAACCACAGAAGGTTCTCAGGACATTGTTTGGTAGGGCTATAGGCAAGCGAAGAAGCTTCGCCACTGCTTGATCTACGTTTTCCCACTCTTATCGGGGGCCTTCTGACCCGGGAAAATCCAAACCCGGGTCAGCCAGGCCTTGCAGAATCCTGCAAGATCCTGCACCCAGGCCCGGGTCCATGCGAAAGGTCGCGGCGGAAATCCCGCGACTTCTTTGGAAACGGGACCCGTCGCGAATCCACGCCATGTTTGCGATCGCCTGAATCAAGGGCTCGACTGTACAGGGCAGTTTTTAATACATCGGATGCTTAAAGATATTGGATTGGTAATACGTGGTTAATTTAGGAATACATTTATGCATGAACTCCTCGATGTTTTTAATACTAAACCCTGCGTTTTGTAAGACAGGATCCGCACGCGGAGCATGTATTAAAAACGGCACTGTAATGTTTCCCCCTCTGAGAGCTTCTGGCCAGCCCGGCCGCGCGCACGCGACGCGCCTTCCGCGAGGCACACGTTCGCGCCTCGCGCCGCGCGCGCGCGGACGACGCTCGCGCGCCCCCGACGCCCCCTCCGGGGGGGGAGGGGGAAACACGAGGCTGCCGCAGCCCCGGCTGGGCAGGGGCCGCGGAGCGAGAAGCGCAGGTATCGGATGGCGCCGTTCTGGCCGAGCCACGCCACGTGTTCTCGTCGGCGGCGAGGCAGAGGCAGTCCGCTCCAGCTTGCGGCTCCTCGGGGCAACCGAAGGGGCCACGCCACGCACGAATGTTATAGTAGTTTCTGCCCGCGGCCAAGATAGAAGTCTGCGTGCCAACGCTCCATCGCCCACACAAACTGACAGGGATCTGCCCACGTCCGAAGTACGATTCTGCCTGCCAATGCTCCATCGCCCGCGCGAACTTACGGTGTTCTGCCCACGTCCGCTTGCGGAGCGGTCCAAGTCGACCGGGCCTCGCTTGCGTGCCTGCTGGCCGCCCCATCTTCACACTCATCGAAAGCAGGATGGGAGTGGACAACAGGAGTCCACGCCCATCGCGCCAAGACAACACCAAGGCGAAGCGCATCCCCCAAATCGGACCCCCAACCCAAAATTGACGGCGGAGCAGGCGAGGCAGCGCGCGAAGGAAAAAATGTGGAGACTTCAACTTTGGATTCGGGGGGAGGGGGTTGGGACATGAGTCGTGCAAGATGCTGCATCACATCACAAGGGGGCCAGGGAGGCGCAAATAAATCGGCACATGGTCCATTTTCCCTCTTTTATGTTTCAATCTCTTCTGGAGTTTCGTCTGAGCTTCCGTCCCCCCTGTCTTCCCATATGTCTTGGGAAATCGAAGTTGGCTTGTGTCTGTGATTCGTTGTCCCTCCTGGGTATAGAAAGCAGAAGGGCCACCCAGATAAGAAGCACCTCGCCTAGCACTAGACGCACCAAAGGAAGGGACCGATCAGGGCAAGGCTGTTTCGCAAATGCCCAGGACTGTTCAGCAAACGCCAGGTGTGAAGGTCGGGGCGTTTTTGTTTGCCGCTCGTGAGCTTACGTTGCGCACCTCCCCAGGGAGCCCGCAGCAACGACAGCGCCTGCTGCCACTGCTCGGCCCTCTCGCACGCGCTTATCGCGGTGTTGACGCTGACCACCGTCGGCCGCAGCCCGACCCGCTGCAGCTCGCTCAGCACCGCCAGCGCCTGCTGCCGCACGCGCGGTACAAACCTCCGCCTGATCCTGCCATGCCCACTTCCCGTCTCCGCTTCCTCGGGCCAAGTTTTGCCCTCGACGCTCTCGAGCGTAGAGGGTTGGAGGTATGCGGACGTGTGTTGTCCTTCATCGCGCCTCCAGAGGCCTCCAGAGGCCTCTGGCGGTCAGGTTCTTGGGCAGGATCAGAGACTGCTCCTTCCTATGTCGTGCCCCTGCCCATCGTCCCTGAGAGCTCCCTCAAGCTCCCTCCCAATCCACCCTGTTCCTTTCTGCTGCTCGTTCGTGATTATGAGTTTCCCGATCCATCTGCTCATCCTGCTCCTCCTACTCCTCCTGTTTGATCATCCTCCTGGGCCTTCATCCTGCTTCGCGGCTTCAGTACTCTTGCTTGTCCCCCTCCTCCTGCTCAGCACCTGCCTACGACCTCCTCCTCCTCCTCCTCCTTCTCATCATCATCCTCCTTCTCATCATCATCCTCATCCTCATCCTCATCCTCATCCTCATCCTCCTTCCTCCTCCCTCGATCTGTCTGCTTCTCCTCTTGCCCGCCTGCTGCCACTCGCCGCTCTTCGCGCACGCGTTCATCGCGACATTGAAACCGACGACGTCCGCCTGCGTCCGTGACAGCAGCGCGTCCTGGAAAGCCGCCTCACACTCGTACTCCTCCTCCTCCTTCTGCCCCCCCTCCTCCTCCCCCTCCCCCATCCCCCTCCCCTCCCCCTCCCCCTCCCCTCCTCCTCCTCCTCCTCCTCCTCCTCCTCCTCTTCCTCCTCCTCCTTCCTCCTCCTCCTCCTCCTCCTCCTCCTCCTCCTCCTCCTCCTCCTCCTCCTCCTCCTCCTCATCCCCTCACGTTCATTCTGCTCCGCCCGGCCCTGGCAGGGGCCGGGGCCTGCGCCCGGACGGCCACCCGGGGGCAGCCCAGGCGGGCCCGCTCCCGAAGCGCACCCCGAGAGGGCCCCCTTGGCGGACCTGCGCGCCCGCGCGCCGCCTCGGGGATCTTCTGACCCGGGTCAATCCAGACCCGGGTCAGCAGGAAACCAAAAACTGCAATGCAGGAAAAAAAACTGCAACGCAGGTCCTCGCAAACCCGGGTCAGCCAATACGCGCGGCCGCCTCGCGGCCACGAGCGGCTCCCTAACCTGGGTCAGTCAGAGGGGGTCTTTGCAGGATCCTGCAGGATCCGGCGCCGTGGCTGACCCCCGTTTGCAGTGACCCCCGTCTCGAGGCTCGTGACCGCCTCTGGAGGGCGCGGCCCCGGGACGCTCCGCGCCCTCGGGGGGGGGCAGGGGTGCTGCGACCGCCCTGATTTTCCCTGGAGGTGACATCTTGTTGGAGGAGGAGGAGGAGGGGGAAGAGGAGGAGGAGGAGGAGGAGGAGGAGGCGGACCGGGACGACCTTGCGGCAGAACGTCAGCTTCAGGCAGCAGCTAGCGCCTGGATGCCTCCTCCTTGGCCTGAATACGGGCTGCGAGCGCTCGCAAGCGGTCGGAATCGACCAAGCGAGACAACCCCGCAGCGATAGGGCCAGGAGGGGCAAGAAGCACCGACTCCGACGGCGCTCTAGCAGGCGCCAGCGAGTCATCACCCTCAGGATTATTTCTGTAGCGAGGGCGGAGGCCAGCCTGCAGTCGTGTGAGCACCTGTTCACCAGCAGTGCTCAGCTTCTTGACACAGGTCTGACCTAGCAAGTGGCATCGCCTGCTGGTGTAAGCACCGCAGGCAAAACAGAAAAACAGCGGCCTCTGGGTCTTGTGCAGGATGGCAAAACCCAGCTTATGTTGCCGCTCGGTCTCAGCACCCTGGAGGCGTCTCAGTGCTGTCGACAAACCCGCACAACCGTTCATTGGGCGGGACTCGCCCTCGAACGAAATCCTGAAACATTTCTTACATCTGAAAGCGGGGCGATCGCCACTGAGCTCATCCCAATCATGCCAGTCGGGCGAGGGAGGAACTCTAGGCAACCTCTTCTCTTTCGGGGGTCTCTCAAAGTGCAGCTGAGGAAAAAGAGAGAGCACCTTCCCGAACATTAGCGCACGCGCTCGAAGGGCCTGCACCTGCCTATCCAGCATCTCCAGATCAGCAGATGCAGGCTGAGGATGAAGCGAGAGAGCGTACTTAGCCAGACGGTCAGCATCCTGGTTGGCTAAAGCTATTCGCTTCTGGTCTGGGGGGAGGGCCTGTATAATAGCATCCGACCGATGGGCGGGCGCATGCTGGGCCTCCCCCAGGGCATCAAATCCATGCGATTGCTGCGCAGCACGTCGAAAACCAGCAAACATTTCCCGCGGGCACAGCTGCGCCTCGTCCGAGAGGTTATGCAAACGCACGGCCCCTTTACAATCGCTGAAAGGGGAGCTCATGCCCGAACTAAACGCACGCGCAGTGGCCAGGCCCAAATTTTCGGCAGCCTGGGGCGCCTGGTGCAACACTGGCCACACGGTGGCCATGAAGCGGGTCCGAACCTGGTAAACGTCCCCTGGTTCCAAATAGACTCCCGCGAAAGCAGCGCGGTTGAGCTCGAGAATAGGGCGCTGGGCAGCCGAGCCGTCGACCACAAGGTCGCAGCTCTCACAACCGTTCAACAAACTCTTCGAGAGACAATGGCTGCCCATTCGCATCCTGGAGGAGGGGGTCCGAGGCCACCGAAGGGGGAAAGGAGTCCGCATCGGGCTGAGCCATTATCAATCGAGACCAAAACAATCGCTCAGAGGGCTGGCAATTACGAGCAGCCTCGATCAGACGAGGTTCAACAGCTTCACTGTGGGCCGCTGAGACCTCTGGGTCATCACAAAACCACTGGCGGTGGAAAATAGAATCTAGTTGGCCGCACTTGGGACAACGTCCATCTGAAATATAACCTGACTCTTGCAAACGGTCTGCCGTCAAGCAGCCATTTTCTATATAAAAAGGAGCAGATCCAAATACTTTGCTCGCGGCGGGGTTCGCTTCGAACAGGGGAGGGGGCGGAGAGGGCCCACGCACGCACGCGCGCCATCGAACGAGGGGGGACTCGCCGCCAATCGCCTCTCATGGGATCTCTGAACTCCTGACTGCAAAAGACTGGCAATCATGGCTGGGCTGTGATACAGAAAAGCCACAACATTGTCCCTATCATCTTGCCACCTACTAAAGCTAAGTGTCTTCCAGCCTATGCGACCTAAACTCAGAAGCATTCGATGACCTGGTCCCCGAGAGTTCCTCCACTCAGATGGTCCCAGACGTAACTCCTGAGCCTCGAGGTTCCTCCAGAGCCTGATGTGATCCCTGAAAGAGAAGGGGCTGGTGGACGGCGTCGTCAGACTTCTCCACAAACTGGTCGACCATTGCCTGGCGGGCGCCGTCGCCTGGAGCCATGCAGGATCTCCGTGAATACAAACTTTTGCCGCAAGCGACGCACCTCTATGCGCTGGCGAAAGACCCGAGAGCAGCACACTCCTGAGATCATTGAGTTCCTGATCGGACATTCCCAGGACAATGGGCCCATAACCCGCGGCAGGCCTGACCCCACATATGTAAATCTTGCTCATGCGAGATCGGTCCCTGGGCAGTTAGTTGCTTTCGGAAATAACAACTAAAACCATGACAGGTCCTCATATATTTGAACCGAGCCTTCCTTTTTGTGCGCCCCCCTGCACATGCCCGGCGCTGGCCTGGCGCTAAGTCGCAGCCCAGCGAGATGGCCGAGTTGCAGGCGAGCGACGGGCAGTAGCGGGCAAGCTTCTTGGCCAAACGAGCAGCCACTCGCTGAGAAGATGCAAACGTCGATGCCTTGCCAGCAGCTAGTTGCACTCCCAGTCGGCGTTGGAAGATATACGTCATACCATCTGCGGCTCTAACAAGATCCTGGATGATTTTATCTTCTTCACCAAACGTGAGGATCGTCGTGTCATCATCAATGTACGAGCCCAGGGAGACTTGTGGGTTCCGAATAGCAAACTGATCAGACTCGAACAACGTGTAAACCTGAACGAAAACGTCGTTGTATATACCACCAGCTGGTAATCCTGATCCCGCGAAGAGGGGAAGAGGGCTGTGATGGGCTCCCAACCTCAAAATCCTCGGGCTCCTCCAGATATTATACAGGGTCTTGACGAGTACCCGCGGGATCCCCCAGTACTCAGCACGCACACGGAGCCAGGATAGCCTAACAGATTCATAGTATTTCGTTCCATCCCAGATAAATCCTGCAGTGACCTTGCCCTGGGACTGGGCTTCTTCTGCCAATGCTCTGCTGCCACACCGCTGCTTCAGACGACCGCCCCCCCCCCGAAGGACCAGCAGGCCCTATGGGCCCGAACCAGGAACCCATCAACTTCAGGACGTCTCAGCCTTTCCCAGATACGAACTGGTGCAGCACGGAGCAACATGGGCCGAAGACCGCCTTTCGGCTTCTCGAGAAGCGGCAGCAGCATCCACAGCAGCTGCATCGGGAACAACCCAAGGCGCTCGACCGCCTCGAACAAAAGAGACATCACCTCCAGACCAGCATCGCTGAGGAGGCTGAAGTGGCGCACGTGCAGCCCGTCAAGCGACTGGGACGCGTGAGCACTGAAAGACCTCGATGCCGCCCGAATGTGACCAGGCCCAGTTCGAGGGAAACAGCTCCTGTCAGGTATCCACGCCTCTGGGGGTCTTATCTGTGCCTTCCAGTAGCCTCCAAGGTGAGCAGCTTCAGCCTCTAGGAGCTTGACGGGGTCCGACAAATAGATCCCTGGGGCCACTTGAGTAACCGTGGGCTGCCACTTTTTTGGGGCTTGGTGAACCTGTGCATGAGCCTTGCGGAGCCTGCTAGAGCGTTATGCCGCCACTCATCCCAAGACTGTTGGAGGAGCTTCTCCCCTTTGTCATTGGCATCTGAGAGGTCCTCCTGGATAGTCTCCAGGAAATACTCAGCTCTATCGCGCCACTCCTGCAAATGGGGATGGCCTGAACTCCACTCTGCCGCAAGGGCTCCCAGTTCCTTTAACGACGCATCCAGTCTGATGTTGAGGCCTTCCCCAGGACAGGAGTGCTGCAACGAGACCTGGAGGGTCAAGATCGGGGCCTCGCCCTCTGCGGCGCTGGCGGTGATCTGCACAAACTCGGCAAACGCGTGATGCAGTCATCGCCATCCTGCGCAGACTTGGAGCTGGTCATCCGCATGCTTGGGACGATAGAACACAGGAGCCCAGGACGCTTTTATCGATTGTCCCCTCATTCCCAAAATCTTAGCCTCGGTGCCCAGGAAACGAACTAGCCCCAACCCGGCGCAGTCCACGAAGGTGGTCCAGGCAGCATTCAGGCCAGTCCAAGCCTCGTCAGCAGGACTATGACGTGCAAGAGCGACGGCATATGCTGCCTGATGCAGAGCACCCTCCCAGCATCCTGGCTCTGGCACTGGGCCGAAAGGTAACTCAAGCGGTAGCTTGAAGTGACTGCGATAAATCAACTGCTTGACCTGAAGAGCATCAGGCCGAACCTGTAAAAGCACAGGGCGATGTGGCTCGACCTCTCACTGCATGTCGGCTTGAACTCCCGAGATAAGCCTAGCTACGCCAGCACCCAAAGCGAAGAAATCAATACTTGAGCTGGAGGTAGGGCTTCTGC